GGTAGTGCCATCAGGGACGGTTACTACCATCCAGGGAGGTTACTACCTTCCAGGGAGGCAATACCATCCGGGAGGTACTACCATCCAGGGAGGTACAACCATCAGGGAGGTACTACCTCAGGGAGGTACTACCATCCAGGGAGGGTACTGCCATCCAGGGAGTATTACTATCCAGGGAGGTATTTACCATCCGGGAGGTACTACCATCCAGGGGGAGGTACTACATCAGGGAGGTAGTTCGCCATCCAGGGAGGTTACTACCATCCAGGAGGTACTAACCATCCGGGGAGGTACTTCCATCCAGGGGAGGTACTACCATCCAGGAGGTACTAACCCTCCAGGGAGGGTACTACAATCCAGGCGAGGTACTACCGTCCAGGGAGGTACTCCCCATCCAGGGGAATGGTACAACCATCCAGGGAGGTACTACCATCCAGGGAGGTACAACCATCCAGGGAGGTACTACCATCCAGGGAGATACTACCATCCAGGGAGGTACTACCATCCAGGGAGGTACTACCATCCAGGGAGGTACAACCATCCAGGGAGGTACAACCATCCAGGGAGGTACTACCCTCCAGGGAGGTACTACCATCCAGGGAGGTACTACCATCCAGGGAGGTACTACTATCCAGGGAGGTACTACCATCCAGGGAGGTACTACCATCCAGGGAGGTACAACCATCCAGGGAGGTACTACCATCCAGGGAGGTACAACCATCCAGGGAGGTACTACCATCCAGGGAGGTACTACCATCCAGGGAGGTACTACCATCCAGGAGGTACAACCATTCAGGGAGGTACTACCATCCAGGGAGGTACTACCATCCAGGGAGGTACTACCATCCAGGGAGGTACTACCATCCAGGGAGGTACTACCATCCAGGGAGGTACAACCATTCAGGGAGGTACTACCATCCAGGGAGGTACTACCATCCAGGGAGGTACTACCATCCAGGGAGGTACAATCATTCAGGGAAGTACTACCATCCAGGGAGGTACTACCATCCAGGGAGGTACTACCATCCAGGGAGGTACAACCATTCAGGGAGGTACTACCATCCAGGGAGGTACAACCATTCAGGGAGGTACTACCATCCAGGGAGGTACTACCATCCAGGGAGGTACCATCCAGGGAGGTACAATCATTCAGGGAGGTACTACCATCCAGGGAGGTACTACCATCCAGGGAGGTACAACCATTCAGGGAGGTACTACCATCCAGGGAGGTACTACCATCCAGGGAGGTACAACCATTCAGGGAGGTACTACCATCCAGGGAGGTACAACCATTCAGGGAGGTACTACCATCCAGGGAGGTACTACCATCCAGGTAGGTACTGTCTCCCTTGTGACCAGGTTCTAGGGGTCACTGCCTCTTGTGACCAGGTTCTAGGGGTCACTGCCCCTTGTGACCAGGTTCTAGGGGTCACTGCCTCTTGTGACCAGGTTCTAGGGGTCACTGCCTCTTGTGACCAGGTTCTGGACCAGGCTTCCTGGGATGGAAGTGTTGAAACCAGTTGTGTACCAGGTACTTGTATGTTAGAGGTATTTCAGGGCAGTACTAGTACACTGAGAGCCGTATATGTCCTGAGCGTGGTGGGCGGGGGTGGTGGGTGGCAGTGTGGGCGGGGTGGTGGGTGGTGGTTGTGGGTAGTGGTTGTGGGTGGTGGGCAGTGGTTGTGAGTGGTGGGCGGTGGTTGTGGGTGGTGGGCAGTGGTTGTGGGTGTGGACGGTGGTGGTTGGCTGTGGTGGGTGGTTGTGGTGGGCAGTGGTTGTGGGTGGTGGACGGTGGTGGGCGGTGGTTGTGGGTGGTGGACGGTGGTGGGTGGTGGTGTGGGCGGTGGTGGTGGTGGGTGGTGGACGGTGGTGGGTGGCAGTGGTGGGTGGTGGTGGACGGTGCAGGGGGGCAGTGGTGGGTGGTGGCGGTGGGCAGTGGTTGTGGGTGGTGGGCGGTGGTGGTGGGTGTAACCTTACATAAAAGGAAGCATTAGGACTGGTATTAAGACACCTGGTCAGCTGACGTTACACCTGGTGGTGGTAATGTCAGCTGACCTGTCATCTAGGTAACAAGTTAAGACGTGTTGCAGAGGTCAGATATATGATGGGGTGAATAATGAGAACTTTCAGTGTACTCGCCTAGTTGTGGTTGCAGGGGTCGATTCATAGCTCCTGGCCCCATGTGTGAGAGAGAGAGAGAGAGAGAGAGAGAGAGAGAGAGAGAGAGAGAGAGAGAGAGAGAGAGAGAGAGAGAGAGAGAGAGAAACAGACTGTGTGGTCAGTCCCCAGACAGACAGTGGCGTGCATCACGGCTTGTCTGCTGCAGTAATTTAATAGAGCGTTGCTTGTACTCTGTGTGTGTGTGTGTGCACCAACATGGTGCACACACACACACACTAACTAACACACACACACAGCAGGGCCAGAGTCGTGGTCCCTTTACACTTACTGGGTTCTCTCTGTATGTACTCATTCCCACCTTGCTTATCACTCTGGGTACTTGTACTCTCTGCCAAGCTTCCTACTCTTGTAGCAAACTGAAATCACATATGGGAAGTATACCTGCAGTATACCTGCTGGATATCTGCAGTATACCTGCAGTATACCTGCTGGATACCTGCAGTATACCTGCTGGATACCTGCCGTATACCTGCTGGATACCTGCAGTATACCTGCTGGATACCTGCCGTATACCTGCTGGATACCTGCAGTATACCTGATGGAGACCTGATGTATACCTGCTGGATACCTGCAGTATACCTGCTGGATACCTGCTGGATACCTGCAGTATACCTGATGGAGACCTGATGTATACCTGCTGGATACCTGCAGTATACATGATGTATATCTGATGGATACCTGAAGGGCATTTCTGGGGGTCAGTGCCCCTGTGGGACGGTCCATAAGCAGGCCTGGTGGTGGATCAGGATCTGATGGACCAGGTTGTTACTGCTGGTTGCTCATAAACAACTTAGCATCAACAACAACCTGGTTGACCAGGCTAGCACCAGACAAGGCTTTTCCAGGACCACCAGCAGCAACAACCTGGTGGACCAGGCTAGCACCAGACAAGCTGGGTCCAGGACCACCACCAACAATATCCTGGTTGACCATTCTAGCACCCTGATAGTTATATTAAAACCCTTGCAAGTTATATCAAGGTATACCACACAACCACAGCCTGGTTGATCAGACCCTGATCCACCACGAGGCCTGGTTTCAGACTGAGTCATGGGGGCATTGACCCCCCAAAAGCCTCTCCAGGTATACTCTGGCAGGTGGGTGTGGTAGGGAGGTATCTGTCAAGTGTGTGTGTGTGTGTGTGTGTGTGTGTACTCACCTATTTGTGGTTGCAGGGGTCGAGTCACAGCTCCTGGCCCCGCCTCTTCACTGATTACTACTAGGTCCTCTCTCTCCCTGCCCCATGAGCTCTATCATACCTCGCCTTAAAACTGTGTATGGTTCCTGCCTCCACTACGTCACTTTCTAGGCTATTCCACGGCCTGACTACTCTATGACTGAAGAAATACTTCCTAACATCCCTTTGATTCATCTGAGTCTTCAACTTCCAGTTGTGACCTCTTGTGTCTGTGTCACATCTCTGGAACATCCCGTCTTTGTCCACCTTGTCTATTCCGCGCAGTATTTTATATGTCGTTATCATGTCTCCCCTGACCCTCCTGGCCTCCAGTGTCATCAGGCCGATTTCCCTCAACCTTTCTTCATAGGACAATCCCCGTAGCTCTGGGACTAGTCTTGTTGCAAACCTTTGCACTTTCTCTAATTTCTTGACGTGCTTGACTAGGTGTGGATTCCAAACTGGTGCTGCATACTCCAGTATGGGCCTGACGTAAATGGTATACAGAGTCTTGAACGAATCCTTACTGAGGTATCGGAACGCTATCCGTAGGTTTGCCAGGCGCCCGTATGCTGCAGCAGTTATCTGATTGATGTGCGCCTCAGGAGATATGCTCGGTGTTATACTCACCCCCAGATCTTTTTCCTTGAGTGAGGTTTGCAGTCTTTGGCCATCTAAACTATATTGTGTCTGCGGTCTTCGTTGCCCTTCCCCAATCTTCATGACTTTGCATTTGGCAGGGTTAAATTCAAGGAGCCAGTTGCTGGACCAGGCTTGTAGCCTGTCCAGGTCTCTTTGTAGTCCTGCCTGATCCTCATCCGATTGTGTGTGTGTGTGTGTGTGTGTGTGTGTGTGTGTGTGTGTGTGTTTTTGTACTCACCTAGTTGAGGTTGCGGGAGTTGAGTCCGAGCTCCTGGCCCCGCCTCTTCACTGATCGCTACTAGGTCACTCTCCCTGAGCCGTGAGCTTTATCATACCTCTGCTTAAAGCTATGTATGGATCCTGCCTCCACTACATCGCTTCCCAAACTATTCCACTTACTGACTACTCTGTGGCTGAAGAAATACTTCCTAACATCCCTGTGATTCATCTGTGTCTTCAACTTCCAACTGTGTCCCCTTGTTACTGTGTCCAGTCTCTGGAACATCCTGTCTTTGTCCACCTTGTCAATTCCTCTCAGTATTTTGTATGTCGTTATCATGTCCCCCCTATCTCTCCTGTCCTCCAGTGTCGTCAGGTTGATTTCCCTTAACCTCTCCTCGTAGGACATACCTCTTAGCTCTGGGACTAGTCTTGTTGCAAACCTTTGCACTTTCTCTAGTTTCTTCACGTGCTTGGCTAGGTGTGGGTTCCAAACTGGTGCTGCATACTCCAATATGGGCCTAGTGTGTGTGTGTGTGTGTGTGTGTGTGTGTGTGTGTGTGTGTGTGTGTGTGTGTGTGTGTGTGTGTGTATGTGTGTGTGTGTGTGTGTGTGTGTGTGTGTGTGTGTGTGTGTGTGTATGTGTATGTGTGTGTGCATGTGTGTGTGTGTGTGTGTGTGCGTGTGTGTGTGCGTGTGCGTGTTTGCATGTGTGTGTGTTTATAAGATTTTTGACATGCCCATTTCCAAAATCCTTTAATGGTGTATTTGTTGAGCGTAGGACTGGTGTCATTCGTGGCGTTGACGAGCGATGTTGACCAGAGCCCAGGTGGTGAAGTTGAAGTCACACTTCGTCCACCTGCCCCAGGTGGTGCCTGGGGTCTACCACCTTTACCTCAGGGCCGCAGCAACAGCCGCTATTCTTCCAGCATGGTCCCCCCAGGTAGCTGTACTAATACTTGTAGCCTCTACAGTATCTACGCTGAACGACACTGTGTGTTGTTCATACCTTCGAACATTTCGAATACTTTATTGTGGAATCATTTCACCAGCCATTGGTGTCTTCAGTCCAGTACAGAGAAAAACTGTGGACGCTGAGGAGGAGTTTGAGGTAATGAGTCCCTCAGCCTGGAGTCCATGTGTACTTTTCTCAAGATTGATGGACTGAACTCATCGACTCCAGGTTCAGGGACTGTTTACCTCAAACTCCTCCTCATCTTCCATCATTCTTCTCTGTGCTGGACTGAAGAAGTCACTGGCTGGTGAAGACATTTCCTCAATAGATTCCCAGATGTTTCACAAATGTCTCGTCCTTTAACTTGTCGGTTTTCCAATTAACATCACTGCTGGTGCTGTTGCCTCTACTGTTGCAGTTCCTGCTGCTACTGTTGCCTCTACTGTTGCAGTTTCTGCTGCTACTGTTGCCTCTACTGTTGCAGTTCCTGCTGCTACTGTTGCCTCTACTGTTGCAGTTTCTGCTGCTACTGTTACTGCTACTGTTGCTCCTTCTTCCTAATACTTGATAAAAGACTCAAACTACATTTAAACTCTGATGTTTAATTTAGTTATAAGAATGTTGGTCTAATTTAACTTAATCTGAGGATAGACTTGTTTAGAGGGATGAATTTCTGTATGTACACTGTACACCCAGATGTGTGTGTCTGTATATACACTGAGAGATGTACATGTCTGTGTATATACACTGACAGATGTACATGTCTGTGTATATACACTGAGAGATGTACATGTCTGTATATACACTGAGAGATGTACATGTCTGTGTATATACACTGAGAGATGTACATGTCTGTGTATATACACTGAGAGATGTACATGTCTGTGTATATACACTGAGAGATGTACATGTCTGTGTATATACACTGAGAGATGTACATGTCTGTGTATATACACTGAGAGATGTACATGTCTGTGTATATACACTGAGAGATGTACATGTCTGTGTATATACACTGAGAGATGTACATGTCTGTGTATATACACTGAGAGATGTACATGTCTGTGTATATACACTGAGAGATGTACATGTCTGTGTATATACACTGAGAGATGTACATGTCTGTGTATATACACTGACTGATGTACATGTCTGTGTATATACACTGACTGATGTACATGTCTGTGTATATACACTGACTGATGTACATCTCTGTGTATATACACTGATGTACATGTCTGTGTATATACACTGACTGATGTACATGTCTGTGTATATACACTGACTGATGTACATGTCTGTGTATATACACTGACTGATGTACATGTCTGTGTATATACACTGACTGATGTACATCTCTGTGTATATACACTGATGTACATGTCTGTGTATATACACTGACAAATGTACATGTCTGTATATATACACTGACAGATGTACATGTCTGTGTATATACACTGACAGATGTTCATCATACATACACTATTATGGTTGCTCTGATTTCTCTCTTAGGGATTAACATAGTCATCATTTACGTGACTTCCTGTAGTTGATACACCATAAAGCTAACACTTTGATCGCTCGTTTCCACTAGCAACTACATTAGCATCATTAGAGTCCTTGTAGAGGATCGCTCAAGAGCTCAAGAATAGCGATTGTTGTGGTAGATTAGACTGTGTGGTGGTTGCATAGCATCGTTTGAAGTTATTGATTTAGTTATTGAATTTTAAGATGTTTTTGTGTGTAATAATGGAGTGAGATGCAGATACATTGGCAGAGAGAGGTTTAAAGAGCACCAGATGAGCCTGGCCCCTGACTGGGCTCTAGCAGTACACTTGAAACTCATCAAAGGTAAACAAGGAGAAAGCCACCCTCAGGCAGGGTTGTGAGGGGTAGGTGAACCCTTGAAGCTGGTCACAGGTATGTTAGAAGCATCAAACTAACGTAATCTACAATTTTTTCAAAGCTGAGGAACGAATTACATCACATCATCGTTATCAAGGCTGAGGGACTGATTACCTCATCTCCCACCTTCTGAATTTAATCTCTGTATTTAACTGATAAAGCCACTGATTGGAGAAAGTTGCTTAAATTACAAACACACAGATATTGACCAGTTTTTAAAGTCCTCGGAGATATAAACTAAGAGATTCCTAATTTCCTTCAAGAAACAACTTCTTACAGTACATCGAAGTTAATACAGAGTCTCTTCCTACTTACAAACCTATTCCTAAGTAGGGAGACTTATGAACAGGTTCGTAAATAGGGAGACAAACTTACGAACAAGTTTGTAAGTTTTGCTCCCTACTTACGAACAAGTTGGTAAGTACTTGTTCGTAAGTCTCGCTCCCTACTTACGAACAAGTTCGTAAGTACTGTTCGTAAGTACTTGTTCGTAAGTCCTCACTCCTTACTTACGAACACGTTCATAAGTACTTGTTCGTAAGTCTTGCTCCCTACTTACGAACACGTTCATAAGTACTTGTTCGTAAGTCTTGCTCCCTACTTACGTATCATGTGGGGTTCGAACACGTGGATAGGGTAAAGAAATACTCACGTAGGCTGGTAGTACGTATAATTATAACGGTAAGTATTGGTAGGCGCCAAACAGCCGGTGACCTGCCTCCTTGCTCTCTCTCGTAAGACTGACTAACTCACAGTGCCCATATGTGAGGGGGTGTTTGAAATCCTGCTATGGTCAGCAGCAATATGAATACAGTCAGTGATTCACGCAGAGACGGTTGGTAGTGAGTCATCTACTGGTACACTGGTTACTGGTAACTGGTTACTGCTACTGAGAGCTCGGCGACGCTAACGTATGTCGTCCCGACATACAACTAATACAAACTAGAGATGGCAGGTGTACGGCTTGGGCTGATTCTATACAATGTCAAAGTACACAACAATTGAACATTATAACATACATAAGTAGAACATTGGAATGGAAGCTTACGTAACTGAAACTGTAATGCAATACAAGGTATAATATAACACAACTCATCGAATGAAACTCAACGAATGAAACTCATCGAATGAAACTCAACGAAAACTCATCGAATGAAACTCAACGTTGAGATTACACAATAGAAGTGATAAAAAAAAAATTTTTGATCGATCGATCTGTATTCATGTGATCTACGGATTCTGAGGAAGGAATATATACAAAGAAAGAAGTGTTTAACAGAAAGGCAGATTCGGTGCACTCAAATCTAGACTGTTAACTCTCAGAATTCGGAGAGAACGTGAACACAAAAAAAAAAAATTCTTGAATACTGATAAGTTGATACTGTAATTATTCATCTATACAGGTTATTTACATTTAACCCCAACTCTGCTAGGGTAAGATTGACATATGCAGAATGGGTGTCATCTCTGGGAGGATCAAACTCTGTAGCATAGGCTAACTCATGCTGTATTTGAGGCAAATCTGAATTGGTAGTCACAAATGATACTTGAGGATTTCTCAATACCTGTCGTGTACGTAGGGAATAATGACATTCAGGTTGATCGTCTGACTGAGTATCAGAGGAAGAGAGTACAGGATCAGGAGGATTGTCAGAGTCTGTCACATTAGTCTGGGTTGGAACATCATTATCATCACATACTAACTTCATATGATCTAAATGCGATTCTTTATACTGACCAGTACTAATTTCTCTAACCTTATACTTATTACCAGTGATATGTTCAACTACTCGATAAGGACCAACAAACTTTTGATCAAGCTTTGGCATTGCAGACGTTTTGTTAAAGTTAGTCAGCATAACTCTTGAACCTACTTTGATTTTGGATTTTATCATGTGGGGTTCGAACACGTGGATAGGGTAAAGAAATACTCACGTAGGCTGGTAGTACGTATAATTATAATGGTAAGTATTGGTAGGCGCCAAACAGCCGGTGACCTGCCTTACTTACGAACACGTTCATAAGTACTTGTTCGTAAGTCTTGCTCCCTACTTACGAACACGTTCATAAGTACTTGTTCATAAGTCTTGCTCCCTACTTACGAACACATTCATAAGTACTTGTTCGTAAGTCTTGCTCCCTACTTACGAACAAGTTCGTAAGTACTTGTTCGTAAGTCTCGCTCCCTACTTACAAACACGTTCATAAGTACTTGTTCGTAAGTCTTGCTCCCTACCTACGAACACGTTGGTAAGTAGAGAGAGAGAGTGTATTACAAACAAGTGGACTTACGGTCAAGTCCACTTGTCCACAAGTCCAACATAGCTACATGTACAGTATACGTAAACACAGGGTAAACTACTCTACAGTAGTAAACTAAATATCTCTTATAAATTTAGTAAAGTTTATAATGTTTATGATAAAGTTTGTAAATAATATAAATTTAATAAAACGGGTGTTCTTATTATCGAAAGTTCACAATACAAAAGTTCATATTTACGTTAGAGTGTCAGCTACAAACACCAACAGTCTGATCTGTCAAATTTTGGTGCCTATGTTGTAAACTCCAAGGAATATTAGGCTGGGAGGCCTAGTCTGAGGCCAGGTCATGGTTTGAACTGGGAGGCCTAGTCTGAAACATTGTCATGGTTTGAACTGGGAGGCCTAGTCTGAGGCCAGGTCATGGCATACCTGAAGGATACCACGGCCTGAAAACTTGCAGGTCAGTGCCCCTGTAGCCCAATCACACACCATGCCTCCTGGTGTAACCTGATCAACCAGGCTGTTACCACTGGCCACATGCGATCCAACCTGCCAACCACAGCCCGGCTGATCAGCAACTAACTTAAGGAACTTAAGTTCCTCCTTAAAGACAGTCAGAGGTCTGTTGGTAATTCCTTTGAAATTAACCAAGATAGAATCAGGGTAAGTGTGTTGATATTGCTTCCAATTTTTTATGTAATTTTTCCACGTAATGTTTTCTGAATATTATATTGACTTGTTTTTTCAAAATGAATATATATATATATATATATATATTTTTTTTTTTTTAATTTTTGTACTCTTGGTGTATTTTTTTAATTGGAGATATTGTATGTACTCCATTGGTAGTGTTAATGCTTGTCACTTGGCTCACATGTACTCTTTGATAGGTCATGTGTTTAGAATGAGCACTTAAGCACCTGATGATGGTACACCACGAACAAAACCCCATTTAAGATCTCTCTGACGGGTCCAGTATTTGTGAAGTGTTCCAGTCATGGCACTGTGTTTGTCTAATTCGTCATTAACTTCGCTGGTAAAGGAGAAAGCTGAAGTATCGCTACCAGAAGAAGCCTTCAGTGTTTGGGTCTCTCCCAGATTATTATTAGATTGACTCTATAATCGTTCACAACAGACCCAAAATTTTTGATGACCCAATTTGGAAATTAAACTTTACATATATAGTTTCCCTTTCTTATTATGGTAAAAAATTATATAATTCCAGCTATGATATTGTGGCTTGTTCATCACTAAGATGACTTGTTGATGATTCAGGATGGACCAGAAGGTTCAGAATTTCATCTGAACATTGTGGGACTGTTGTGAATGTTATATGTAATGGTGGAAGGTTGTTTAGGTGACAGGAGTGAACACAGAGACACGTGTACCAGAACAAGACTTGACCAGGATGATGTACGTGTGTTTGACATCCATCTTAAGTGTCATTCACTCATTAGCTGTTTTGTCAGATGTGTATATGCACTTCAAATGACCCTCTGGACTGTAACATCTATACTTCCCACCTTCAAGATTGTAACATCCTCACTCATCCTTCAGAGTACAGACACTGTACTTCCCACCTCCAGGACTGATACATCCTCACCCATCCTTCAGAGTGCAGGCACTTTACTTCCCACCTCCAGGACTATAACATCCCCGCCCATCCTTCAGAGTGCAGGCACTTTACTTCCCACCTCCAGGACTGTAACATCCCCGCCCATCCTTCAAGAGTGCAGGCACTGTACTTCCCACCTCCAGGACTGTAACATCCCCGCCCATCCTTCAAGAGTGCAGGCACTGTACTTCCCACCTCCAGGACTGTAACACCCCCGCCCATCCTTCAAGAGTGCAGGCACTGTACTTCCCACCTCCAGGACTGTAACATCCCCGCCCATCCTTCAAGAGTGCAGGCACTGTACTTCCCACCTCCAGGACTGTAACACCCCCGCCCATCCTTCAAGAGTACAGACACTGTACTTCCCACCTCCAGGACTGTAACATCCCCGCCCATCCTTCAAGAGTACAGACACTGTACTTCCCACCTCCAGGACTGTAACATCCCCGCCCATCCTTCAAGAGTACAGACACTGTACTTCCCACCTCCAGGACTGTAACATCCTTGTTAAGTGAAACCTTTTGGACAAACTGAAATTAGTACCAATAGTCTTGTTGTGTTACACATACATATTTCTAAACTGTATTTATTACCATAGCAAAGTGCACAGATCTGCGGTAATGCTTCAGTATAAAGGACATATATAGGGTTGTCTTCTCTGAGTATCTTTCAAAGGAGTGTGATGGTAAACAAAGGTAGAAGGCAGCACCTTTGATATACCTTTGATGAGTTCCGAGAGTTTTTCTACTCCCAGAGCCCGGCCTTGGACCAGGCTCGTGTGGTGCTTGCGACGAGTGGTAATAAAGACTCTGGCAACTGAGGTTTCTTTTAATACAAGGTTTCACCAAAGGCCAACCTTTATCAAGTACACTGGGAGGCAGTGTACTTGTTCATTGCTATGTACAGGTGGTCCTTGAATTATAATTGGGGTTACTTTTCAACGAACCCATCGTAAGTTGAACATTTTTTAAGTCAAATATGAATATGCTAAATAAATAAGTAAATAATGATTGTTACCAAATAAGTCAATAAAGAAATAATTTATGTAACTAAATACAACCTCTCCTCACTTAGCGACATACTCGTTTACTGACGCCTCACACTTACGACGGGCTCTCTAAATAATGTATGGTAGAGCTGATTTCCTCTATTCTGTTTATTAAAATATACAGTACACTACTGTATACACACTTAAAACTATACCAGAAATGTTATTAATGGTACAAAGGTGACATTAAAACAATATCAAAGATGGTTGACACAAACTCACTACCATAATACAGTGGACCCCCGGTTAACAATATTTTTTCACTCCAGTAGTATGTTCAGGTGCCAGTACTGACCGAATTTGTTCCCATAAGGAATATTGTGAAGTAGATTAGTCCATTTCAGACCCCCAAACATACACGTACAAACGCACTTACATAAATACACTTACATAATTGGTCGCATTCGGAGGTGATCGTTATGCGGGGGTCCACTGTAGTATGTTCCTCACTTAGTGACGAATTTGTTTACTGACGTAGTCTTAGGAATGGAACTCCGTCGTTAAACGAGGAGAGGCCGTACCAGTATTGAAAAGTAAGTAAATGAATACAAGTTATGGACTTGCTGCCTTCATGTTGGGTAGTTATCTTAAGTTTCATCTCCAGAGTAACTACTTCCGCACCATTGTAAAGCTGAAATATCGTAGGACAAGAACCACCTGTATTTAACCCGTAAACGGTCCAAACGTATATATACATTTTTTCAACATTTGAAAGTATGTAAAAAAGTAGATCTTCTTGTTTTTTTACATTTGAAAATGTGTAAAAAAACTTTGATCTACTTGTTTTTTTGTTATATTTGAAAATATGTAAAAAAAACGTAGATCTACTTTTGTAGCGCAACACATGGGCAACAGGGCAACAGCCTGGTTGATCACATGGGCAACAGCCTGGTTGATCAGGCGCTGATCCACCAGGAGGCCTGGTCACAGACCGGGCCGCGGGGGCGTTGACCCCCGAAACTCTCTCCAGGTAAACTCCAGGTAGATCTACTTGGACCGTTTACGGGTTAAATGTAAAATTTACCCAGTGGCTTCCATTGTTGTCTGACAACATGCTGGAGCGAGAGATATGGAAGTGCAAAATAAACACAGTGAAAAGCAGGGGTGCGGTGGTCACAATAAGGGAACACTGTATCAACATTCATGGCCCCGGATTATTTAATATCTTACCAGAAGATATCAGAAACAATGCTGGAATTAGTGTAGAAGTCTTCAAGAAGAAACTGGACAAGTATCTTCACCAGGTGCCAGATCAACCAGACTGTGACAGATATATGGGGCAGTGGGCCACCAGCAGCAACAGCTTTGTTGACCAGACAAGCACCAGACGAGCCTGGTCCATGACTGGTCCCCCGGGAGTAGTAAAACTCATCAAAGGTATATCAAAGAGAAGCTCAGTAATAGAGGTCTGCTGTGTTGAGGTTCGTTATATTGAAGATGTACTGTAGGTCTAGGGTTATATAGGAGTAACGGAAGGGATGGTACTCTGGCTTGACGGGGGGGCTAAGGTACTTGTTTCAATAGTAACATTGTCATTATTCATTTTAATTTTGGGGCTGATTTGGAATTTTTGGGGGGCTAGCCCCTTTGCCCCCTCCCTTCCTGCTGCCCCTGACTGTGGTAGGTACAGTAAGCATGGGTCTGTGGTGGAAACACTGGGTAACTGCCACCCACACTAGTGGGACGCAGACACTACCCACACTAGAACACAGTCACCTCCCACACTAGGGCACAATGGTACTTGTTACACCTACCATCTTATTCTTCATTTATCTTCCTCAGATACTTATGGGTTTGCACAAGATAACTCACCAGCAAGCACTCGTCAAAGAGCTCCATTGCCAGGCCCTAATGATCTTATATTTGGAGAAGGTATTTGTTTTGCTTTTTAGATACAAACAAAACTAACCGAGAATGTTTAAACTTTGTTCAAGTGTTTTATTGTTAGATAAACTCATCTCTGGTAGAGATTAAGCTCATTTCTGGTGAAGATTATTAAGCTCATCTCTGGTAAAGATTTTCTTAACTTATTTCTGGTAATTATTAAGCTCATTTCTACTGAAGATTATCAAGGTCATTAAATATTATTAAGCTCATTTCTGATAATTATTAACTTATTTCTATTAAAAATTATTAAGCTCATTTCTGATAATTATTAACTTATTTCTATTAAAAATTATTAAGCTCATTTCTGATAATTATTAACTTATTTCTATTAAAAATTATTAAGCTCATTTCTGATAAAGATTATTAAGCTAATTAAAGATTATTAAGCTCATTTCTGATGAAGATTATTAAGCTAATTAAAATTATTAAGCTCATTTCTGATAAAGATTATTAAGCTCATGGCTGATAAAGATTACTAAGATCATCTCTCTGAAGACAGCATGAAATACAACTGAAAACATACAAACGTGTGGAATTAGCCACCACATAGAGAGGCCTTCACAGCACTGCATATCCCAGTATATTTTGCACACTTTTGGCTGCATTTGCAAAAAAAAAAAAAAAAAAAATCACGCAGATTTATAAGAGAGCTGACTGTGTATATATATGTATACAGTGGTACCTCAAGTTACGAACTTAATTCATTCCAGAAGGCTGTTCCAGTGCCGTTATCGAATGTAATTTGTTCCCAGCATGAATAATGTAAATTAGATTAGTCCATTTCAGACCCCCAAAAATACACTTACAAAAGCACTTACAAAAATACACTTACAAAAGCACTTACAAAAATACACTTACAAAAGCACTTAAAAAAATAATTGTTCGAGTTGGGAGCTGTATGAAACTCGAGGTGCCACTGTACTTTTCACTTATGTAAATTACATTTTAAGAGTACTAAACCCATGGGGATGTTTAAAATAATGCTATAGATTGGTGAAATTTAAAAAAAAAGGGGGACTTTTCATTTGGCCAAACTACACGACTTTGAAGTTCCGACGTACAGTGGACCCCCGCATAACGATTACCTCCGAATGCGACCAATTATGTAAGTGTATTTATGTAAGTGCGTTTGTACGTGTATGTTTGGGGGTCTGAAATGGACTAATCTACTTCACAATATTCCTTATGGGAACAAATTCGGTCAGTACTGGCACCTGAACATACTTCTGGAGTGAAAAAATATCGTTAACCGGGGGTCCACTGTATTAGAAATAATAACATATTAGAAATTCTAACACAGTTCTAATAGTATATTAGAAGTTCTAAGATATGCACTTCTGGTAGTTTTATGCAGTATTAATCTGCATGAAGTTTTATTTTGTCTTGCTGTATATATGCATGTCTGCAACATAACCACGGTGCAATATCCTTTCAACATTATGCATGGGAGGGATATGTTGCAGTGTTTGAACTGTAGTGTTGGTGTGCCTCTGACAAGACAGTGATGGAGTGAGTAATGGTGCAAGTGTTTCTTCTTTTTCGGGACACCTGCCTTTGTGGGAAATGGCTGACATGATAAAAAAAAATTATATATACAAAAAATAGGCACTTGAGTGCACGTTGAGAGCCCATGGTTATGCAGAGCATTTTGGGCAAGCTTAAGCCTATCTTAAGCCTACAAGAGCATATTATACACAGTTATTAGAAACTTCAATCATCATGTGATTTCTCGTATCGACAGAGTGGGAAATCAAGAAAGTTCTTGGAATTTCACCATTTTGTCACTGGTTATTTTGCATACAGCCTCTCCTCACTTAATGACGGAGTTGCGCTCCTAAGACCACGTCGGTAAACAAATTCGTCACTAAGTGAGGAACATACTATAATGGTAGTGAGTTTGTGTCAACCATCTTTGATATTGTTTTAATGTCGCCTTTGTACCATTTATAACATTTCTGGTATATTTTTCAATGTTTATACAGTAGTGTACTGTATATTGTAATAAACAGAATAGAGAAAATCAGCTCTAATATATATTAGGTATAAATACTGGTCAGAGAGACTGTCGTAAGTCCAAGTCGTCAGTAAACAAGTACGTCGCCTCATATCCAAAGAATGGATTTGAGGTGCACAATAAACTAGCCATTACCATCCACATGATGGATATGAGGTACACAATAAACTAGCCACTACCATCCACAGGATGGATATGAGGTACACAATAAACTAGCCACTACCATCCACATGATGGATATGAGGTACACAATAAACTAGCCACTACCATCCACAGGATGGATATGAGGTACACCAATAAACTAGCCACTACCATCCACAGGATGGATATGAGGTACACAATAAACTAGCCACTACCATCCACAGGATGGATATGAGGTACACAATAAACTAGCCACTACCGTACACAGGATGGATATGAGGTACACAATAAACTAGCCACTACCGTACACAGGATGGATATGAGGTACACAATAAACTAGCCACTTGGTGGCAAAATTGTTAATCTTCCTTCCGTTTAAAGGACACTTATTGTGAATGGATTTCAGGATTAATGGAGCCTCCATTATCAGTGACCCACTTCAATTTAAAGAATCAAGGAATGGGTGGGGTTTGAAACCATGGGGAGTCGTAAAACTCCAGGAAATTGGTTCAAACCCCACCCATTCCCTGGTTTGTTTACAGTCGTGTTATTACAATTTCATGAGTCGGTGTTATTGACGATAATATCTTGGATAACTTAAAAAGTAAGTTAGACAAATTCTTAGAGGTCAGGCATCAGTAAAGCAGGTTGATAAGAGATGAGGGCCAAGAGATACTACTCAACCCCTGAAAGCAAAGCATGTACACATCTGCACCATGTTGTATTAAGGGAAATAATTCTCCGAGTAGTTTTAAAAATTCCACATACAAACGATCAGGAACAAGGGAAAGGCTTCCCCATTACCATACCAAACTTCTTTATATAAAACTCGTCATTAAATTCAAACTTCGCCTCTATAATGCAGAGTTTAATGAGTTTGATGATTGAGATAAGTTATAATTGGTTATTTCTTAAGAGGAGACGACTTCAACATGTCATCAACAAGACGTCTTGTTCATAATGATGTGACATCAACAGGACGTCTTGTTCATAATGATGTGACATCAACAGGACGTCTTGTTCATAATGAGTGACATCAACAGGACGTCTTGTTCATAATGATGTGACATCAACAGGACGTCTTGTTCATAATGATGTGACATCAACAGGACGTCTTGTCCATAATGATGTGACATCAACAGGACGTCTTGTTCATAATGATGTGACATCAACAGGACGTCTTGTTCATAATGATGTGACATCAACAGGACGTCTTGTTCATAAATGATGTGACATCAACAGGACGTCTTGTTCATAATGATGTGACATCAACAGGACGTCTTGTTCATAATGATGTGACATCAACAGGACGTCTTGTTCATAATGATGTGACATCAACAGGACGTCTTGTTCATAATGATGTGACATCAACAGGAGTCTTGTTCATAATGATGTGACATCAACAGGACGTCTTGTTCATAATGATGTGACATCAACAGGACGTCTTGTTCATAATGATGTGACATCAACAGGACGTCTTGTTCATAATGATGTGACATCAACAGTTAATTACATTAATTGCACTAATATATGTGTGGTATAGTCAGCTCTCTTATAAAGCTGTGTATAAATGATGTGTAGAAGACACATGTTATCCTGGTGTCTTGACTTAGACACATGCTATCCTGGGTGTCTTGACTTAGACACATGCTATCCTGGGTGTCTTGACTTAGACACATGCTATCCTGGTGTCTTGACTTAGACGCATGCTATCCTGGGTGTCTTGACTTAGACACATGCTATCCTGGGTGTCTTGACTTAGACACATGCTATCCTGGGTGTCTTGACTTAGACACATGCTATCCTGGGTGTCTTGACTTAGACACATGCTATCCTGGTGTCTTGACTTAGACACATGCTATCCTGGTGTCTTGAATTAGACACATGCTATCCTGGTGTCTTGAATTAGACACATGCTATCCTGGGTGTCTTAATTAGACACATGCTATCCTGGGTGTCTTATTTAGACACATGCTATCCTGGGTGTCTTAATTAGACACATGCTATCCTGGGTGTCTTAATTAGACACATGCTATCCTGGGTGTCTTAATTAGACACATGCTATCCTGGGTGTCTTAATTAGACACATGCTATCCTGGTGTCTTGAATTAGACACATGCTATCCTGGGTGTCTTAATTAGACACATGCTATCCTGGGTGTCTTAATTAGACACATGCTATCCTGGTGTCTTGAATTAGACACATGCTATCCTGGGTGTCTTGAATTAGACACATGCTATCCTGGGTGTCTTAATTAGACACATGCTATCCTGGGTGTCTTAATTAGACACATGCTATCCTGGGTGTCTTAATTAGACACATGCTATCCTGGGTGTCTTAATTAGACACATGCTATCCTGGTGTCTTGAATTAGAACATGCTATCCTGGGTGTCTTAATTAGACACATGCTATCTGGGTGTCTTAATTAGACACATGCTATCCTGGGTGTCTTAATTAGACACATGCTATCCTGGGTGTCTTAATTAGACACATGCTATCCTGGGTGTCTTAATTAGACACATGCTATCCTGGTGTCTTGAATTAGACACATGCTATCCTGGGTGTCTTAATTAGACACATGCTATCCTGGGTGTCTTAATTAGACACATGCTATCCTGGGTGTCTTAATTAGACACATGCTATCCTGGGTGTCTTAATTAGACACATGCTATCCTGGTGTCTTGAATTAGACACATGCTATCCTGGGTGTCTTAATTAGACACATGCTATCCTGGGTGTCTTGACTTAGACACATGCTATCCTGGGTGTCTTGACTTAGACACATGCTATCCTGGTGTCTTGAATTAGACACATGCTATCCTGGTGTCT